GGGGGGGGCAGCAGACCGCCTGACTGACGAGCGCAATTGGAAGCGGAGACGGGCAAAACAGGTGGCTTTGCGACCGCGACCAGCGCGCGCGCCTCAAAGCGCCGCTACATTCCCCGGGCAATGGGCGGAAATTACAAGGCGACGGAACAAAATTGATGGATTCCAAAATGAGGGTTGTAAAAAAAATAAAAATAAAACAAAAAAATCATAGGAAAGGCGAGAGAAATAAGGGAAAATATGACGGGCATAGAGGGAGCAAAAAGGGTGTGGGAGAGGGCAGCAGGGGGGTAGTGGTGGTGGACGGGGCGCGGAAGCTAATGGAGAGGAAATGAAGGGGCCTGCCGGCAGCAGCGGTAGCAGTACAGAACCGGCGCGTTTGTCACCCTTTCAAAAATTGGCAAAGACAGAGAATGAAATATTGACATTATGTAGACGGAAACAGTTGTGCGACGAGCTCCATTTTCATTTCCCTCATCTCATTGAAATAGGAATGAGAAAAAAAAAGTGGGAGAGTGCTGGGGGGGGGAGTAATTTAGTAATGAGCTTCGGGACAAGCCGCACAGCTGGTCACTACTAAAGAATTCTCATCATCACTTGTCTTTACTCACTCAGTTTGGACAGTTTGAAGGCGTCGGCAGTGTTGATGACGTCCACGAAGGCCTCGAGCTCGTACCGCCGGCCCGACATGTTGTGGTTGTGGCTCAGCATGGCGAACTCGAACGCTAACCGGATCTCGTCTGTACCCTGGTCGAAGATGGCCCCTACAAAAGAGAGATGAAAAAAAATATAAGGGGAGATTGAAACTGACAATAAAAGGAAAGTATCAAACTTGGTTGCACCGCACCAGGTGCACATGGCATAGAGGCGGAAACACGCAGATATTTCAAAGCACGTGAAGCAAAGTCAATATAATCGCGGATCAATATCTTACACATAGTATTATTAGGGGTAATTACACACACTAAAATGAAGCGTCCGAGTTTAATACGTACACACGCAACACACATACACGCACTCACACATGCAGTCCTGTTGTCCCTCCTCGTTGATCCCGACCGTGACTTCTTGGCAAAGGGCGCGCTATATTTTCTTCCCGACAGCGGGCGTGGAGGGGCGTGGAGGGGGGTGGAGGGG